AAAAAAAAAAGGGAGATAAAATGTGATGTTTACCTGGAGAGAAGTAAGTTTCAATTTTCTATTGTTTTTGTCAATACTCAGAAATTGTGTATGGACCTTTTTACTACATGATTGTCCTATGAATCAGATTGGCTGTAACTCAGCCACTGGAGACAAGAGACTTTAGCCTCTGCTGCTTGCTGCTCACTATGGGGAAGCAGCTCACTATGGGGTCCTAGCCTCTGTGGCCAACAGTGCTTTTAACCCTTGAATTACTTGACCTAAATGCCAAACACAGACTAACTTAAGATCTGATGGTAATGCTAGCGTTTGCTGCTAAAAAACCTTTGGAGCACCCACGTGCCACAGAATAAAGTGCAGGATATACAGGAGCTGCAACCTCAGGTCGCAGAGACAGAACAAGCTGCTACCGCAGTAAGATCTTGGCCAGGCGCTGGAAAATGCAGACAAAATCAAACAAAATGCAATCGGCTAGGAAAACTTGGGGAACTTTTGCCCCGAAAATGGGCAGCGGACTCCATGTTGTTTACATCACCATGGTAACCATGGAGTGCCTGGCCAGAAGAGCGGCTTCCTGGTCCCACCTCCCACACTTTTGCGGGCTTCTGATTGGTTCTTCCACAGACACTCAGACAGGACTTCTAGTCCCGCCTTCCAGCCACTAACCTGTACTACACTGTTTCAGATTTCTACTGGAGCTGCTCAGAGCCTGTATTTTTAAAAATGCCTATCTGTAAATGCTAATGAAAGATATCTTTTTCAGACAAAATTTAATTCCACAGGTTTCTATGTTACAGTCCTAAATTTAAGTTAGTTCTGAGTTAAATAACCTGACTTTTCTCTCTAGTTGTGTTACTAAATAATGTTCTATTGATGAGAGATATCAAACATGCTTCTTTATATTTTACTTTTAATTTTGGAAGTTATGAGGATGCATTTGCTTGCAACAGGAACGAAGCTGACAATGTTCCTGTGATGACCAAAAAATCCTTATTCTCATTTCTGACTATAAGAAGTAAATATGTATACACAAGGATTTTATTTCAGTTACATCAAGTGATGTCACATAAAAAAGTGCACTCCTAGTTAAAAATAAATTAAAATGGATCCAAATATTTTAAGACCACGTGGTTGCATAAAGTTAATACAATTATAAGTTTTGTTCTTATTCTTGATATATATTTTAGATATTTAGATAACCTATATTTGTTAATCTATAAAATAATTAGCATATGCCTAATTGATTAGTTAATATATATTTGTCTAATTGTTTTTCTTTAACAAAAACCTATAATTAATGTTTTATATTTACATTTATCAGATACTCTGCCTTTTCAGTTACAGATATTTAAGATAAATGTGTTTACTATAAATTTACTTTTAAGTAAAAATACAATCTTCAAGTAGTTTCTAATTCTCAAAGTTACTGTTCAAACTCATAAGATGATAAATAATTATAATTATGTCTACAAAATATCTAAGGATTTTAACT